AAAATCATACTACGGAATGTTCTTCATGGAAATAGATCAGTTTTATGCCATAATACAGCGGTCTCCAACCTGTAGCTCGAGAGCTGCCAGTTGCTCTTCACTAGCCGGATTCATCAGCTGGTTTCACTTCTTAAAAAAATCGTCTTACCTCGCAGAGTTAGGATTCATTCGCTCAACGGTAGGAGGGTACTTTTTTTTTTATTTAACCAGTCGCTGCTACTTTGTCATGACGTATGTAATGCGCCAGAAAGCTCAGTGGTGTCCAAGTAATTGCCGGCACAACAGCAAACAAAGCAGAGAGTGAACACGTCTGTCGATGATTATTGTCATTTCAACGAGATGAACTTGCAAATTAAAGGTGCAATAAAAATGCAAAGTTTATATTTGACAAAGGAAGTCCAAAGGAGGATAGCGTATGCAGTCTGCTATCACAACTCGGGTTGGTTCAGCTCTTTGCTGATTGGCCGGTGCGCGGTTTAAAACTTCTGGGGTTCTTGCAAATCCTCTAGTGTATTCTGATTTCTGATCTAGTGGCTGGAGAGAAATGAAACTGAGCAGAGATACTAGATGGCGCCTGGCTAGCTCTCCACCCCCTTCCACGGTCAAATTTTTACACAGCACTTTTACACCTTCAGTGCACTCAAAGCACTTTACGTCAAGGAACCACTCACCCACTCACACACACATCCATACACCACTGTACGCAGACACTAGAGGCAAGTAGGGGTAACGATATCCAAGTCTCACGATACGATATCGGCACGGTATGAAACTCACGGTACGATATTTATTGCAATATTTTGAGGAGGTTAACAAAACTGAATATTCTACTTTTTCCTCTTAAAATGCCTTGACAAGACTTAATCTAAAGAACTAAGATTTAAAAGTGTTTTGAACTGTTATTTCTTCATGTAGCCTGCACTGAAATAGAGCAAAGGATCATGGTCTATGTAGTTCCCTCTGTTTTTTTTAAAAAACTATTGCTGCACCATAACTCTTAATGTAAGCAAAGAGACCTGTAATTTGATATACTGTGATGGTCCACGATATTATTGTGAGAACTCTGACGATACGATATCACGATATTTCGGGTATTGTTACATCCCTAGGGGCAAGTTGAGCTAAGTGTCTTGCCCAAGGACACGACAGCATTCATCTGTGGGAGCTGGAATCGCACTTCCAACCTGTGGGTCAGTGGATCCAATCGCTCAACCGGTGATGTTTATGTCGAGGGCGGGATTTGAATCACCAAACTTGGAAATGTGTCATTGTGGTGCCTGTACTGTGACTGTACTCACCGTGGATCTTATATAAACTAGATTTCCTGAGAATGCTAAAAAGAGTCTCCGGCATTTTTGTTTTGTAAAAGTATCTCATCGGAGGAAAAAGATTAGAGACCCCGCCAAGATGTTTGGTGAGCTTGCACAATAAAGATGTTTGCGAAAATGCAAAACCGCTGCATAGGTACATTTTTTAACAACAAAAAGTTACCCAGTGGGACTTTAAAACGTGTTCTTGTTTATAGAAGAGTCTTTGCATATATTTCTGTATTTGTGCTGTTGTTTCAGAGCAGAGAGAGAGAAGAGCGAGGAGCAGGTGAGAAGTACAGAGAAAGAGACACAGACATGAGTCACGTGTGCAGCTCTGAGCTCTGAATCACCGCACTCTGAATCACACACACCTCACACACTTTGGGGGGAACTTTTTTTTAACTGTAAAATTATTCACAATCACATTTCTCAGTCAAAATTACAACTTTTTTAAAAATGCAAGAGAACATTTCCGTCACACAAAAACACACTCACCCTAAAAAAGAAAACAAGATAGAAGATTGTGCGTAATGAAGTAAATTTGATTAAATTAAATATTGATGATATATTTGACAATACTTAATATCCTGTTATTGCTACTAATACTACTACTGCTACTACTACTAATAATAATATTACTGCTACTACTACTGCTACTATTACTACTACTACTACTACTACTACTGCTACTACTATTACTACTACTACTACTACTACTACTACTACAACTACTACTACTACTACTACTACTACTACTACTACTACTACTACTACTACTACTACAACACTACTACTACTACTACTACTACTACAACAACTACAACAACTACTACTACAACAACTACAACTACAACAACTACTACTACTACTACTACTACTACAACACTACTACAACTACAACTACACTACTACTACTACAACAACTACTACTACTACTACTACTACTACTACTACTACTACTACTACTACTACTACTACTACTACAACAACACTACTACTACTACTACTACTACTACTACTACTACTACTACTACTACTACTACTACTACTACTACTAGTACTACTACTACTATTGCTGCTGCTGTAAAATTATTCATCACATTGACATTTCGCTGTCAGAATTACAACTTTTTTTTAAAATACAAAGTTCAAGATTTTCTTTTTTTTTGGCATTCAAACATTTCTCTCACACAAACACACAAAAACAAAAGAGATAGTGCAGAATGAAATCAATTAACGGTGCATTGTAAGAAGTAAGTACATTTTTATTTATATAGCGCTTATCACAGACATATGTCACAAAGACGCTTTACAGAGCATTTATAGATTCATTA